TGATCCATAGAACACTTACAGCTTATTTAAGGGACTTGGGGAAGCGTAAGGGAGCCCATAGAGATGGTGATAGGGTATGAGAGCCCCAGAGAATTTAGAGAAAATATTTTCAGTAGGCCAGCTTTATAGGTCGCAGATATCAGGTGCAACAATCCCTTGAATCTGGGGAGCAGCCCTGGGAAAATTGTGTGTGTTAATGCTGGCAGAAAACGTGTAATCGTGTTCTTGGGAAAAGTTTGAGGATTTTTGCAAGAATGACTAATTTTGCAAGAATGACTAATTCACATCTAGAATCTCTTCTCTTGCACAGTTAATAGTGCATACCTAAGCAACTAAACCATGTGCTATTTAAAAAAGAGAAGTAGACTTTTGTTTCTTCATATCTTGTGAAACAGTCTTCAGTTTGAATTAGAAACTTAGGGTAATGTCTACACTGCAATTAGAAACCCATGGCAGGCTTGTGCCAGCTGACTCAAGCTTGCGGGGCTTGAGCTAAGGGGCTCTTCAGTTGCAGTGTAGATGTTCAGGCTCAGGCAGCAGCCTGACCTCTGGGACCCTCTCACCTCACAAGGTCCCAGGGCTCCGGCTGGAACCCTGACTCTAGGACCCTGCAGGGTGGGACGTTCCAGTTCTCGGGCTCCAGCCCAAGCCTGAATGTCTACACCGCAATTTAACAATTCTTTAGCCCAAGTCCCACAAGCCCAAGTCAGCTGCAGAGGCCAGCCACGGATGTCTAATTGCAGTGTAGACATATCCATACTGTGAATATGCAGTCTCTACCTATGCAACATCAGACTGGCAAATCCCTGAATGGGGCACTGAGATTTGGATGCAGACTATTCTCTGTGACTGGTCCCTGATGATGGAATTTGCTCTCTCTGGTAAGATGTCATAGCCTGAGTTTACTACTGTTCAGAGCAGTTATACTTTCTGTGAACTGGGTCCCCTGGGCTTGATTCTGATCTCATACAGTCAGTGGAGTAACACTGGGGTAAAATCAGCTTTTGTGAAAGCAGGATTAAGGCCCATTGCTTGGTTTGTTTCTTTGTTCTGTGCTAGAAATTTTTTGTTTTTATTTGTGATGCACCCGGATACAACAGTAATGGGCACTAGAATAACTAATTAGCAATAGGAAAATGGGTCTTTAGGAGGCAAACACTGCCATGAGCTTAATGATCACAGTCATGCTTTACCAAAAGGATTGTGCATAAATACTGAATAGACAATAAACAACTTTGTGCAATAACTATTGAAGGTTCCAAAATATTAAAATCTTGCAATTGTAGATAGACCTGAATATCCTATTTAGGAATTGGTTGATCCAACTCCAGGATATTTACATTTCTTGTCTTTTCATAGGGTGGATTGTAGGAGGGCCCATTGCTTTCAAGTTCAGTCATGTTCATACACCAACTGTTTTTCATACTCATATTTTAGTCCTTGTCATTCTACAGAATTACTATATTTACATTTGAATGTAGAATAGGCAGATTAAAATATTTTTTCACATTTTATTGATAATGGCAGATTAATTTCTACTTTCCTACTAGCTGCTGTGTCAAAAACATTCTCTAAAAACATATAACAATTTTATAAGGCAATCACCAAAATTACATTTTTGGTATTAATTAGCAATTTGATTACCCATGAGAATTAAATAGGAGTTTGTTTGTACTGTGGATAAGAGGAGGAGATAGTTACGCCAGAGGAATCTTTCTTATGGTTCACCCAGTTTGGTTTTAGTGTGGGTCTGTATGCATCAAAGAACTTTAGCCAAATAAGATGTTATAGTAAATGAGAATATTCTGGAACTTGTTCTTGGCAGTCATAATGAGTTTTGGTATTATTTTATACAATTTATGTGTTGCATATGTTTTATTTTGTTTTAAAGAGCCAGAACAGAACTTTATTATTGTTGCAACTTAAAACTTTCTCCATCTCTTTATAGCGGCTGTAGTAGAGCTTTGAAACTTTTTGAGGTAGTGCAAAGGGGTAGTCACTAACCTCTACAGTCATAAACCTCTTAAAAACTCCTTGAGTAACTTTCACTTGTAAATTGCAATAAAAACCTGTCAGAAAATGGACAACAAAACTTCAGATACTGTTGGGATTGAAACTTCAAAGTGATAAACTGCTTTGTGATAGTTTGTGAGCATTTCATTACTAATTTGTCTTAGCCTTCTACCTGTTAGGGCCCCGTCTACAAAAAGTACAAAGTTAAACTGTTTTCACAACGGTGTTAGAGTAACTGTAATGCTGCTCCAGGTAGGAGTTTGCATGTGCTATCTACTCATTGAATCATGGGACATGGCGAAGGTATCCCAGGTTTACTGACATTGTTACTACTGACCTGCACTATACTACTGGTGTGGAAGTAGCCAGTATGAAAGAACTTGCTTTGTTGGTGCAGTGCTGTGTATTATGGAATTTCCTCTGAGGAATAACCAAGATAATTCTGCTGCAATCTCTTATCACTATTACAAATAAACCAGATTAAAAGTGAATGCCAAAGCAAAATTTAAAACAGAGAAGCTCAGGCTTCTGTGCTGTATGTCCCTGCTAAGCAGGCCACAGGGGCAGTCTGAAGAGAAGTTAGCCTTACATTTTTTTAAATGATCTTTTCCCTTGTGAAATCCTCTTGGTACTATTTGGTTCCCTTGAAGATATCTCAGAATGTGATGTTAGAGCTACCAGGAGTCTCACTGCAGCACATGCATTTCGTGGGCAGAGTCACCCCTCCTGTATTAAAACCCCCATGCAGGGACCAAGGGGAAAGAAACCTCCAAGAGGCATCCCTTGGTGGAGTTTTCCCTGATCTTTCTGTTCCAACATGAAACAACTGGCGAGGCTCATTTGCAAATCTGGAAGATACCCAGAAATTGCAGGATCTCTGCGCCATCTGCACGGAGGCCCTGTGTCTCAGAGCTATCTCCACGTCCCTAGTGCGCCCTTCCTCTCCCTCTACAATGGCTCTGCATGAACAGGGACACCTCCTGGTGACCACTGACTACCCTTAAAATGTGATTCCCCATGATTCAAGGGCACCTCAGAACAGGTTACTGTGCCAGGATCAGTTAATTTTCCTGAATACTCTTTACAAGGTTGAAAGAAGGATGATGTGTTTCTCACTTCACCCCACTCCCACCCAATGTGGGGTTTCTCAGTCCCTGTCCAGCCCACAGCACATCAATCCTGACCCTGTGAACAGTCTTCTGTGAGGTACTAGGTAAGTGGGGATAGTTCTGTAGAAGTAGCTGTCCTTTCCCACTGTGTGGTGAGATCTGCATGGGGATTTTAGGGGCACAGCCTGGTCACATAGTGTTTGTGATGTCACAGAATAATGCACTGTGAGATATCTTCAGTAAACCTAGACATACCAAGAGGCTATCTCAGAGAGAGAGAGAGGAGAGACTGTTGAGAAAGCTAGTTTAAAGAAACATTTGTGAACTGAATCATCTTCTCCCACCTCATCCTGGCTAATGAGACAAATGTTCATCACAAAATTCTCTGTTTAACTCTGTTTTCATTTTTTTAATGTGCAGTTCATCTTTATGCCAAACTTTTAAGATCAACAGAATTTTCAGCAGAGGACCTGCTCTTGCCCCTCTACCAGAGGAGGATTTGGAAAGCACTGATTTTTGTCACTTTGCTGCAAACAAAAGACATTCCTTGATCCCTTCCCCTTATGATCCACAATTCCAAAAGAGAGAAAAACCAAATCTCATCACAAAATACATTAAAATAATAGAGGTAGATAGATAGAAACTTGAATGTGTCCACATGCATAAACCCCTTATGAAAGGCAAGATTCTCATCCCTAGGTTAAGTGATACCTTATTTCCTGAGTAGAAGCATCAGTTTGTGGAGTAAAGTACTAATCTACCTAATGGTGGCAGAATGGTGATGTTTATAATTAAAGCTCTATTGCTATGACTGAATTTTTTTCACTCAAGTAGAATTTAAGAAAATAGAAGAGAATAAATGCTTCAGTGATAACAGATTAAAAATGTTATTAGTTTTAATAAAGATCAGCATTGTCAAGGTTTTGAATAAATATAAAAAACATGCTGCATCAACATAAAAACATGCCACATCAACACAAACCTAACTAAAATTTGATTTCAGTAACATCTGCAACGTAAATTTAAATATGCTAAGATTTCTTTACTCTTTTCTTTTGTGAAATCTAAGTTGGTTAAAAATCACAGAACTACTCAAAAGGACCATATTAGGCCTTGCAGTAAATGCATACAACTCAGGTAAACGTCAGTGGACCTTGCAAGCAGGTATCAGAGTCAGCCAGGTTATGGCCCATATTGATTGATGTAGGTAGGTATTAAGTAGGTATTAAGTATCTAGTCCTATAACTGCTTACTTATGTGGATAATGTTATGCATGTATGTAAGGGTTTGCAGGATCGGGGTCTTCAGTTCTATCTAAATGACTAGTTTCAGAATGTTATGAAACATTTGAAATAATATAATAATAATATATGGAGATATACCTATCTCCTAGAACTGGAAGGGACCCTGAAAGGTCATTGAGTCCAGCCCCCTGCCTTCACTAGCAGGACCAAGTACTGATTTTTGCCCCAGATCCCTAAGTGGCCCCCTCAAGGATTGAACTCACAAATCTGGGTTTACTAGGCCAATGCTCAAACCATTGAGCTATTCCTCCCCAAATGATGGTGACCACACACTATAACTGTTAAATAACAATTTACATCTGTATTAAAGAAGCATTCATTCAAAATGAACATTTTTATTCTTTTTTAGCAAAATATATTGCACTAGCTGTAAAAAAAAATCTCCTTTTGTGTTTTGTTTTCAGAAGATCTTTTTTGTTTATTTTCAGATGTCAGCCATTGTCTTCTTGCTTTTCTTAAATTGTCTGTAAAACTAAACTATAATGTATTTTTAAAAATATTATTCTGATTTTTTGTGTTTTTAAAAATCGTCTTAGAAAAAAAACACAATTTCTTTTGAATCCTGTTTTTATAGGGAGAATCTTAAATCGTTTCTCCAAAGATATTGGCCATCTGGATGATTTGCTTCCACTGACAATTTTGGACTTCATACAGGTAATGTAGTTGTTACAGTTTTGAGAATTTTACCTTGTACTATGAATTTCAAGTCCTCTATACTCAATTGATATACAAAACCCAATAACTTATCTGCCAAAGTTTTAGTTGAGTGAATTTAATGAAAGAGCTTGTTTGTGAAAGAAGGGTGTGGTCAAAATTTAATGTGCAAGTGAAAAGCTATCATGAGCAATAAGTGGCAGGTAGGAGTGGCTATACAGCTTGCTATCATGTCAAGATTTCAGTTCATAGTAGCTACATGCTTGGTAAATTGCTCTGGATTTGCCTCCAAGCAGTCTGGCAAGCATAGTGTGTTATGAAATATATCCACAGTAAAGAGACAATCAATTCACATGGCAAGATAGCACAGATTAACCTAATTATGTGTGTACTTCCACAAAGAAGCAAATGCTTACTGCACCATTTTGGATTAAAATAGGTGTGGCTATTTACAAAGAAAGGATTAGTAATAACAGGGTGAAAATAATAGTCTTAATAGGAACAAGAGAAAGAAGTTACTGCAAATAGAAAAATGTCTATAAGGAAAAAACGATTTTAGTGACAATGAAAGGATTAAATTTATGGCATTACAGTGATTTTGATTGGCATCCCAATTAGTCCTTTTCATGAATACTTCAAAAGCAAAATGTTTACAAAACCAACCGCTGTATGCTAAAATATTCTTAATCCTGTAGCCTTAAAATTCAGAATTGCAGAAATTAGAGATGGAAAAGATTGATTAGGCCATCTGTAGAATCATCACTTTACCTATTCAGAAATGTTTCCTACAGTGAGCTGAGGGGTGAAAACATTATTACTTAGTGCTTTATCCAGTCTGTTTATGGATGACTCCATGGAGGTTTCACCTGGTTTTTCATATTGAAATTAAATGTTTGTAAAAGTTACTTTCAGCACATTGTTAATATTTAACTCTTGAAGTTTGCTGAAAAACTAATTTAGGACATTTTTCGCTAAAACACATTTAGAAAACACCTGTTTTCTTGCCTAAGCAAGGCCTGAAGGTTGAAGAGCTTTTTGCCCTGCTTTTCAAAGCTGTTCAGCGCAGTAGACCCCTTTGGGAGGGAGATGGGATGGCTTTTTTTTTTTTTTTAATCTGCTCGCAGGACCTCCATTAGAAATTGTAAACTCTTTTTACCATTAGCTGCTGTTTTCCTAACTCTTAATGTTAAGCTTTTAAATTTGCCTGGTTTCCAAAGTATACAAGAGATCTGTCCTATGCACAGAAGGTAAACAATCTGCTAGAGTGTATGTGTATTGGCCATTTATTTCTATCAATTATATGGAATCAAAACTTTGTCTTTCTTTAGACCAAGGGTAGGCAACCTATGGCACGCGTGCCAAAGGCGGCACGTGAGCTGATTTTCAGTGTCACTCACACTGCCTGGGTCCTGGCCACCGGTCCGGGGGGCTCTGCATTTTAATTTAATTTTAAATGAAGCTTCTTAAACATTTTAAAAACCTTATTTACTTTACATACAACAATAGTTTAGTTATATATTATAGACTTATAGAAAGAGACCTTCTAAAAACGTTAAGATGTATTACTGGCACACAAAACCTTAAATCAGAGTGAATAAATGAAGACTTGGCACACCACTTCTGAAAGGTTGCCGACCCCTGCTTTAGACTTATCAACTATCTTTTATTAGACAGGACATCTTGCTTCGTTTCAATTGGTTTAGGCAATGCATTTGTGTCCTGCTATCCTGCTGCGTGCCCAGACTGTTCTGCATACTGCCCATTTGCTAGCCTCCTCTCCTGCGTATAGTATGCTTCTGCTCTCCCCACTGTGAACAGGACTGGGTAAGTTCAGGCTGCAGACAGTGAAATGACATGGCTTTGCTGCTACTTCTGGTACTTGATTGGCTGCCCCTGTAATTAGTATGAAACTCCTCTCCTCCACAAAGCCTGGTGGCTGCTGCCAAAGCTGGAGAGAGCTGGAAAGAATTTAGGGGACAAAAGGAAAGGGGAGGTGTTGAGAAACTGAGGAGGGGAAAGGGAACAGAGGTGAACAGACAGTTGCAGGGGAAATGATGTTCCGCATTGTATTCCTCAATTTAAGGTTAACATGTCCCATGTTGTCACTCATTTGAGAATAGGGAGGGGGTCTGTGTCCCATTGTGGAGTGTCTGGAGGTAGAGAGGTACAAATATGTCTTTCCAATTAGTGCAGGTAATTTATATTATTACATGCATCTTTCAAGTGCCCGCCACTGTAGTTAGTAAGTGCTCAGATATTACAGGCAAATGGGGGCAGAGTCAGTGTATAGTATGTTCACCCAAACTAAACTGATCTGGGATGAAAGAATAAAGTATTTCATTGTAAATTTGAATTTCTTGTTCTTTTGACTGTTATCAAGCCTCTTATCCGTATTGTGAAAACTGCAATTTGCAAAAGTTTCCCTTCTGAAATCTCATGTGCTTAGCTACTTAGTTCATCTCTTGTAAATAGGGCATTTAAGTAGTTGAAAGACAGGTGTTCTAAAGTTTGCACTGTACATGAAAACACACAAGCTTTGGGAAGAGATGTATGGTATAGTATACTTAAGTGGGGGAAAAAAGGATTTTTTTTAAATACACTAGTTGTAGACGTCCAGAATCTTTACTGAAATTATTTAAATTATTTTTGTTGTACATAAATTTCAGTGCTTCCCTGTTCTGTTGGGCATAAGAAAAGAAGCCTTAGTTAGTTAAATCTTATTATAGGTTTGTTGCATTTAGCTATTAAACTTCTGAGCATGAGAGGAAAAACATTCCCTCTCTTTGTTAAAATGTACCACTGCTGAACATCAGTGGTGCCTATTAGTTAATACATCTTGAATTTAACAGCAAAGTTATATTACATTATTTATCTCTCTAAGGAAGCATAGATTTCTAGAGAGGATAACTGTTATCAATTATGATAAAGATCTTTTGTCACTTGTTTTGTCTGCAGGTGTCTTTTATAAGACTTTCTATAATCCCTTCAGGAAGAAATATTTTCTTCTTTTTAAGAACAGTATTAGCTAAGTATAAAAGCTCTGATCCCTACTATTGTTGTTGATTCTTTGAGGGACATTTCCCAACATTCATTGTTTAAATGGTTGTCAGGAGGAATCAAGTGAAATTTAATAAACAATGCAGTAACTGGTTCATCTTACTTTGTGTGTAGAAGCTTTTCTTGTGAGGATTTGCATTGAAGAAGTGGTCCTTATTGTGAGTTATCGTTAGGGTAGTTTTGAAGCTTTCCAGTCCGTTACTATATTAGCAAGTGTATATTTCATTTCTGAACAAACAAATTAACTTGGCTGGGCTCAGATACTACAATGAGGAGTGCTGTAGACGTACCTATAAATAAATAATAAAATTTTACTAGTTTCAAGAATTTCATAGTTAAAAAGAATATAGATTTTAAGAGAATACCAAAAATTCCCAGTATTACCATAGACCCTTAATAAGATTTACACACTGCACTACAGTGCTAATGAACATGATTCGTCTAGATAGCTATACTGGATGAAAAATAATTCCTAAAACGGAAATAATTACATTTATTTTGTCTGTTATTGGATAAACCAGAAAGAAATAGTTTGTTTATTTTTAAAAGAGAATAGAAATGTGCTGGACATGTAATAAAGAGTCGTTAGAGAAAAAATGAAACGGGGGGCATGCAACAATGCTTAAATAAAGCCTTACTATATTTGGGTTCCACTGCTGACCATGATTTTCAGAACTGTGGATCTGAAAGGGCACCCAAAGTCAGCTCCTCATAGTCCAATATTTGAGGATTAAAGATCAAGAGACTGTATAAATTCTGCTTCCCTTGTTTTGTGAAAAGATCTGCTCAACTTGAGAATGAAGGTATTCAAAAGAGAAGATTTTGGCCTTAGAGAATGAGGAAATTATTTTTTGCCTGCTACTTTGTAAATCTTTAACAGCATACAGGAAAGGTCATGTTCACTTGATAACTGTCTGTTGGAATAATTGCTTCCATCATTTTATAAATAAAAATTAGAATGATCTGTCAGAGCACACATTTAAGGATATATGCTGCTACGCTGATATCAGATGGAGCTGTATGTGCAGACAGAGGGTAGGTTATTATACTTAACTGAGTTTCTTTGAATTTTACATTCTTCTTCGAGAGATGTCCCTGTGGGTGCTTCACTCCAAGTGTTGGCGCGTCCCTGTGCCTTCGCTCGGAGATTTTTTGTAGCAGTACTCGTACTGGCCACGCATGCGAAGAGGCTGCCCCCCGCTGTGAGTCTAGGATAATAGTACGCATGCGTGGCCAATCTCCTCAGTTCCTTCTCTACCGTCCCCGGCCTGAGACGGAGCTCAGCAGACTCGTTAGGAAATCCCTCACTTTCTGACAATTACCTGTTATAGTAGTTAGTTTGTTGTCAGTTCTTGTTAGTCTAGTTTATTAGTTCTTTATCTGTAAAAAAAAAAAAAAAAAAAAAAAATTTCTCTCAGCCGCAGCCACTTCTACCATGCCTGGCTCCACAGGCTTTAAGCGCTGCTCTACGTGCAAGGATGCTATCCCGCTCTCTGATGGCCATTCTCTTTGTATAAAATGCCTGGGGGAAACACACATTCCCCAAAAATGTGCCCACTGTACCAAACTCAGTTCCAGGGCACGAAAGGACAGGGAGCTCAAACTGAAACTGCTCCTCCTGCAGAAGTCTATCAGGTCAGTTTCAGACCCAGGCGCCGACTCCTGCTCTACTGCCCGACACAGCCCCCCTGCTTCAAAAAACCTGAAGAAAACTTCAAAGAAGGGGCAGCCCTCTCCAACAAGGAAGTTGGTGAGGCACAAAAGTGCCTCAGGCAGGTCAACAGTTTCCCTGCCTGTGTTTCCTCGCCTCAGCACTTTTGAAGAGCCGGGCTCCTCAGGCACCGCACGAAAGCCGCCTCAGGTTGCGGCGGCGGCGCGAGGCTCCGGTGCCGAGGCTTCAGGCTTTCAGTTGCCTGCCTCGTTTATGGCACCGTTCGGCACCG